CGTCGCCGCGGATTCAGTGTTAAAGTGTTAACACTTTAGCGTTAACACTTTAACACTTTAACATATACGAACTCGCGGCGAGTGAGGGTGAGGGTGGAGAGGTGAGAGTGAAGTGGGTGAAGAAGTGGTCCACCCTCATCCTCACTACTTCACCCTCAGTTATGCACGTTTATCCTTTTACACTTTAACACTTTAACATATAAGAATCCGCGGCGACGGCGATTTCCGGATGATACCGAAAAGTGGATGATTCTCACATATTAAGGTGGGTGATCATATTTACAGTGTGTGTGTGCGCAAAATACGGAAAAGCATAAAAGCAGCCAAGAAGCATAAAAAATTTCTTTTTAACCACGAGAGAGAAAATATTCAAATAAATGATCTGAAATATCTACCGATGCAGAGAGACAAAAAGCTAAGCAAACGTTTTCTGTAGGCCAGGAATAGATGTCGCCAGATAGCAGTCAACTGTGATAATACAAACAAAGTCACCTACGGATAATAAAACTTACAGTGTATAAAGAATCTATCATAGCGAATCGATTAAAAATAGTTCCAATCTCTTTAGGATCCATAGAGGGTGTCCAGAAAACCGTTTAGCTTTACTTACATTAGACGTTTTTTCAGTGGAAGCAGAGAAGTTCACAGCGTTTCTCAGCTATAGTGGCTGCGAACGCCGACCGAATGGAGGCGTGAGCATTGCTTTGAATTCACAAATATTTTTAGACCTCTGCGGTTTTTTGACTTTCATATTTATATTAGATTACGAACGTTACACATGAAAACAGAAAAACATCAAGGAGAGAGCTTAGTTAGGCCCCCAGCGAGCGCCGACCGAAGGGAGGCGTGAGCATTGTCTCGGATTTAAAAGTCACGAAAGGGCGTTCAGTAGCGCAGATCCAGGTTATTAAAGTCAAGGGACCAAGTGAGTGGAGACGAGCGTTACCTTGTTACAAAAGAGAGTCAATTTAATTCTAGTTTTCTATGAAAAACAAAACGATGACGTCATCATATACTTCTGCAGAAGAAAAATAAATACCTCGGTTAGGTATAAATCTTCCAATTCAACCTACATGATGTAGGTTGAAAAAAGTGGATGTGTTTGTTTTTTGACCTTCATCATCTTTCACACTGCTTTCTATATTACGATTCAATGTGGACATGACCTGTTGTTGTAACAGACGTTATACATTGAAGCATGTATTTGACCTTGAGCTGGAGTATTGAGTCATGTTTCTTCGCTGCCTCAACTCAAGGAACTGGTTAGTGGATTACAAAAATAGATACTTTTGCCGCGCCGCATCAAATTAGTTGAAACTAAGGCGATATATGCAGAATTTCACGCCGAATCCGACAGCGGGCTTCTTATAATTATACTTTGAGTTTCTGATAGGATAACCACGGTCTTTACGATTTCCTATAGTAAATTTAGGCATTTTTCTTGTTCTGTTACTTTTTTTCTTTTAGTTTCTCCTTTCTTTTCTCCTTTCCACGCGTACATTTTGTCACTTTTCACTTTCACATCTTGTGTTCATCACACTGCTCTCGTCAACAGATGTTGTAAAAGCTCTACTCCTTTACATTATTTTTTAATGTTTATGATGACAAACTGCAAGATGATACTAAAAAACTAAAACTTCTTTAACTTAGAAGTTCAACGTAACTTTTTACTACTGATCATAATTATTACTCATTTTTTAATACATTCTCGTGGTCCTGTCAGCTGCAAACGTCGGCTTTTCACGTAATTCTTTTAACTGGTTGACTTCTCCGAGTGAAAGAGGATTTTCATAACTAGTAATCACATAGTACACTCTGAAAAAAAATTGTTTTTACAGCACCTAAAAAAGGTTCTAAATTTTACAAACATTTCGAAACCATTTTAAAGTTCCATACGGAATAGGTTTAATATGGACCCTCTATATTTTTATATCCAGAAAAGGTTTCAAAGTGACTAAATATCGTTAAGACAAATAAAAATCACACAAATCAGCTATGTCTTACGATTTTTCATTTTTTACATTCATTGTAGAGTTTGGCGCTAGGCTCTGGTCTCTGACTTATTTCGGGGTTTGATTTCAAACTACAAAACGGTCAATATTTTCCTGTTTCTATTCGCGATTTATTCTCTTGATTGCAAGACAAGGACCTAGCAACTTTATTGCAAGAAAAGCAAGAATTAATGAAGTGTTCACGTTTAAATTACTTTTTAAAACTGTCTGTACAGACAGTTTTAAAAAGTAGTTTATATATATAAACTGTAGTTTGTTCGACTTTTGTCTCAAACAGTGAATTTCAAGAGATCAAATATCGTTCACAGTTTAGAATGTCCACTGATGGGATACCGTTGACAGTTCAAAAGTAATGGATGAAACACGAGTCTTTTCTAGTTGATCTAAGCGAAATCAAACAATAGAAATCTCCTCTTGTCGTACATCTTGCCGTACATTGTCGAAAAATGTTATGTAAATACAGTAACGAGTATCTCTCTATCCGTCTATACTTCAAATCGTAAACGGAAGAAGAGAACTTTTGAATTCTCTTTTTTAAAAAGAAACGTTTGCATACCGTATCGAGTCTTTAATTGTTTTAAACAGCGCACCTCGTTGAATGTCAGAGAGAGCACACTTTATCAAGTAGTGTCTAACTGTTTCTTTCTGTGCAGAAAAATAGGATTTCTTGTTAAGGTTTTTTATTATGCATTGAATCGTCAGGCCCTTTTCACGTAACCATTCGCCTCAAATGTTCGTGTTTGTCGAGAGATTTCAGTTGATCATTTCGATGTATTCAAAGCGCATTTTTCAGAAGATCGACAGGAACAGAGAAAATAAATCAGAGAAAAGCCTTAGATTTCGAAGTAGTATATCTTAAATAAGAAACCTCATGAAAGCTACACTCAAATCCACTAGATTGATCGTATAAAGGACCTACTGGTACAAGTTTTTTCTGCATGTGCTGCTCAGATTGTAGAAGGTGTGTATCGAGCCATCTGTACTTTTCGATATGTACTGTAAGATGGTTTTTATGCAAATTCAGCGTGAATTGTGTCTGGGCTAAACTGTATTTTTTGACTGTATCACCGATTACACAGACCTGCAGGAGACGATTCTCAAGAATATTAAACCCCTAAAGTACCGGTATCGAATGGTGCTATTCAATCCAGTCACAAAGAGTGAGATAAGGTGTTGCATTTCAATTTCTTCCGATCCGTGACATTCATTCATTTTTTTCGGTTTTTTACACTAATCTGTTCTTATCGGTTCCTCCTTGTGCTCTTTCAAAACTCATTCTCGTTTTGTTTTTCGTCAGGACTGTGCAAATATATGCAAATAACAGCGACCCGTTTAATAAACATCGTGACACACTTCCAATTTGTGTTGGTTTTTTCCATCTACATTTCAGTTGCACACATGACATGTCGGCAACATGAACATGATATGTCAGCTCACATAGTTATGAATCGTTTTCATTTTTCCAGTCGAAGAACAACCTACATTGGATTGTTGATCCAACGTCATTTGTGTACGGTTTAGCCTCTATTACGTGTGTCACTTCATTTATGCTATAAATTTCTCATGACGCGGGTCTCATTGTAATGAGTCAATTCCCTAGTCGACTATCACATTAAAAATCACGCGTGTTCCACGTAAAAGAAGTCACATGTGAAACATTTCCGAGTTTCACGCGGGTTTATTGCCGTGCACCATGGGCGATGCATGCGGGGTTTTTATGCTTTTTTATTCGTGTTTAATGCACGTACAACCGCATTATACCTATAATTTTTTGCGCGTGACACTTTCAGAACTGAAACTCAAGAAATTTTATCGTCAGCTGGAATATCGGGATTCCCGAGTTTCGGCTACCTTCGGGATACCTGAGTTCCCGTCCAGGTGCATGCCTAGTTCCATCAATCATTGTTGTTGTTGCACTGTGTTCTTCTCAATCAACTAATTTATTTCGAATATCATCCTTGTAACTTATTAATGGCGGTTCATGATCAATATCAACTTCATTTATTGTTGAAACTTTTTGTTGATTTGAATTATCACCAATGTTAGTGATTGTGTGTAAACGTTGCCAAAAAATTCTTTTTGTATCTGACTCAGTTACTATAGTATTCATTTCTTAATGTATTAATGTTCGTATCTGAAAAAAGAATTGTGCGATAAATTCTTTAGAACAGTAAACACTTCTGAAAGAGATGAAAGCAGGTGAATTTTCAACGAAAAAGAGAAATCATCTTCTGCAAAACTAAATAACTTACCAGACGACAACACTATAGAATTTCAAATCGGACGGATATTTTCTCGTGAAACACGCCGTTTGTACACTTGTCTGTGAACCACGCCTGTTTGTACACTTGTCTGTGAACCACGCCTGTTTGTACACTTGTCTGTGAACCACGCGTGATATCCAACGTGATAGTCGACTTAAAAAAGTCGAATTAAAATGCAACACCTTATATCACTCCTTCTCGTTTGTATTCTTTTGAGCACAACGACTACAGCGCCCGTCATCGATGTTCGAGCACCATCGAACATTCTGCGTGCAGGTGACGATTTGCAACAAGATCAATTTCTTGCATCGAACAACGGAGCCTACTATGCTGTTTTACAAGGTGACGGTGACTTTGTCGTTTATGTGTCGCAACATTAGGTGTCCAAAAATTCTCTTTGGCATTCGACAAGGTCAAATCATCCATTTGTCGGACCCTATCGTCTATTTGTGCAGACTGATGGAAATATTGTTCTCTACGATACGTACAATCGTGTCGTCTGGAATTCACAAACAGGGATGAAAGGAACCAAACCCCACTTTTTGGCTATGCAAGATGACGGCAATCTTGTTCTTTATGATAGTAATGGACAACCAACATGGAGTACTGGGACAGGTCGTAGTCGTCAATTCCAAGTGGAGAACACTTTTTGATTTTCTTGCTTGCGTACGTGCGTACATCCATATCATATATCCTATATCGTTTTTGCCGAAAATATGTATGGTAACTGACATTTTAAGCATTGTATTGTTTGTGCTAATGCTATTTGTTGATCTGCAGATCAACAAATAGCATCAAACGAACTTTTTCTCTTTTACCATAGTTTTCAGGACTGAACTTCTTTTCGTATAAATTTTTACTTTCATAATAAAAAGCATGATACTATTGTATTTTCCTTGTATTACAAAAAATATTTTGTTCTCAGAAAGCCTAAACAGTATGACAGTAGAATAAACTATAAAAGAAATGCTCTCGTTTTGCTTTAAATGTATTGTTGCTAGCTTGATAAATGAATAATCTTTCGAAACACGACGGTTAATTGTCTTTGAAGAAGAACAAACAATTAGAAAAGAAAATGATACTTGATATATCGAGTACTTTAAGCGAAAAAGAGTTACACCACCAAATTTTCTTCGCAATTTCACTGTTTCATTTTCATAGAAAAAACTCGATACTAAGCAGGATGGTAGAACCGAGCATGCGTTATTGAGTTACTAGTAACGCGTTACCTGTAAAGAAACGGTAAAGCGCCACCCCTATTTATAATAATCTTCGTCAAATTAGTCCGGGCAGTGTCTATACATTCATTTCTGCAGGCTG